GAGAAATCACTTCCCCAGAGGTTACAAAATCTCTTGTATTATGCAGCAACTTCTGCGTGTGCCATCTCCATGACTCCTGTACTCAGCATTTTCCTCATCTTATTTCCCAGTTATCCCACTATCAGCACTAAAAATTATCCCATGCTAACATTCCCCACACACATTCTTTGTAGTTTTTGTTCAGGTTCTTCTCTTCCCTATATTGTACCATAGATTGGCTCAAACAACTCTCAAATACATTTTGAGTTCCCATGGAAGATTTTCCTCTGTGTTGACATCCTTGCCTGCCTTGTTCAGACATGCAGAGCCACATATTTGCTGCCTCCTCAGCCCTGAATTTGGGACTGGAAACTTCTGATTTGACTTGGGTAGAAGTATGGTAATCTGGTGCCTGGAAAAGCCAGTTGGGATGAAGAAAATAGGAGTAATGCAGGGCTTTCCTTACAGTGAGGGAAAAAGTGAGGGAAAATTGGCAGGAGAAGGTTTCCACATGTTTCCAGAATTTCTTCAAGGAGTTAAGGGACCTGTTATCAGCTCTACCAGGGTGTGATATGGTGTGACAGGAGGGAGATTCTATCACTTTGCATTCATCAAGTCTGTGCTGCAAACCCTGAGTCACAGCTGCTGCTTTTTGGGGGCAGCAGATAAGATCTGTTCTTGTAAAAGATCTCATTACATCACATAAAGCTATGAGGATTCAGCTCTGCTACTTAAAACCTGGGGAGCACACCCAGAGAATGGGTTACTGTACCCAAAAAATAGAGTTACCAGCAGCCCTGGGCCATGCCAGCTGCTCCACTAAAACACAATTTATCAGATCCTTACCCACCTGAGCCTTTCTACACCAGCCTTCAGGATCGTGAACAAAAGGCAGTGACAAATTTCCATGGAAAGCACAGGGTCTTACCCACAGCACCAGTTTGGCTGAACACATCTAAAGTCCTCAGCAGAACGTCAGAACCCTCAAGAGTCCCTACCATGGTGTCCCTTCCTGTTTGATGCTGTGAACTCCAAGGACTTGCTCAGATCCTGCTAGGAATGAGGAATGAATAAAGAACATTTCTCTAAGGAGTTGCACTGCATAAAAGAATAAAAAAAGAAAAAGAAGGAACAGGGGTTGCAGATTGCAAATAATTATTTATGGATACAACTTATATTCTTCTATAAATTACATCTTTATGACTGAGTTGTTTATTTATTTATATTTAATAATTAATTTTATTTATTTATATATTTATTTATGTTTTGCTCTGAGTTATTCAGCTTAATTAGTGCTCCTTTTTTTTCTTTTTTGCCTTGTCCTCAAGAGGTGGGTGGTGCTCCAAGCCTGGCAATATTTAAGAAGCATTTGAACCATTATAGAGGCTTTAACTTTTGATCAGCCCTGAAATGGTCAGGCATGATATTTGTAGTGATCTAAATAATCTAAGTGAATAAATGATAGTCCCTTGCAACAAACTCAGTTGAAATATTCTGTTGTATTCCATTCTGTTCTATTTTCTCCTGCCACTGAGAGGAAATTCCTGCTTGTACATTTATGAAGGTGCTTGACCTCCTCATGCCTTTGTTGTCAATCATCTAATCAATGTTTCTGTCCAGAATCTGCCATGTTCATGACATGCAGAAAGGGAATTAATGGAGTTCCTTGGAACTCAGCAAATATACTAATCACCTAAGAAATGCAACAGCTCAGTTTGGAAAAAAACAGATTTTAGTCTGCACAAAAAATCCATTTAGCTTTGCCCCAAATATTTTAATTTTTTTCTCAGGCTTGATGACATATGTATTAAGACAAAAGTTCCAGAAGATACTATCATGCAGCTTTGGTACACTGCAAGGAAAGGAAGACTGGATTACAGGAGCACAAAAATGTGGGGTGTGTGAAGGAACAATGGTTATCAGGTAGCTGTTGAGTCATAATTTTATGCTTATCATTTTAGCAGCTGACATCTTCATTGTGATAAGAGAGGTTGCAAAACAAATCAGTGCTGTTTAATGTGGGTGAAAGACCAAGGAGCTGGAGCTTTGGTAGTATAAGGGCTGTGGTGCAAATTAATGAAGGGTTTGAATCCCAAATGGATTGTCCTGTTGTAAGAACCTACTAGTACAATGGAACGCTGTTACCAGACTGTTATCAGTATTCCTATCAGAGCACTGTCTGACACAGTGATAATATCATGGGTGTCCTGCATGTGACAGACAACTCCTTCTCTTAGCAGTTTACCTGGCTCATCCTGAGGTAATGAAAGCTTCTGTTATCCAAGGGCTTGACATAAATCCATGCAGAGTCTTAAAACCTCACTACCATTTTGAGTGCTTGAGGGTAGTTTTTAAAAAAATCTAAAGCTCCAGCTAAGCTCCTGCTCGTCTCCTGAAATTCCAGGGTTCAAGCCATGTCTAACCTGGCCTGGAACACTTCCAGGGATGGGGCACCACAGCTTCTCTGGGCAGCCTGTGCCAGGACCTCTCATAACGTCACAGGGAAGTATTTCTTCCCAATATCCCATCTAACCCTGCCCTCTGTCACTCTGAAGCTGTTCCCCCTTGTCCTGTCACTCCAGGCTTCTGTAAGAAGTCTATCTCCAGCTCTCTTGGGGACCCTTTAGGTACTGGAGTTGTGCACAGAAGTTGTGGTGTTTGGGGTTATATTATGTGCTCCATACACTGAAAACCCTCTGGGGATGAAGCTTTTCCCTGCTTGTGTCACTGACCCAGTGGGAGCTATTTAACCTTGTGCAGGATTTTAGGGTCAGAGAAAGGCTGGGCTGATGATTTTGAAGATTGGACTCAATGATCTTGGAAGTCTTTTCCCACCTTAGTAATTCCATAAAGCAGCTAAGGAGGTATGAACATGGGACAAGGAAGGGCTGGATTCTTTTTCTGCTGAATATTCAGTATTGAGTATTCAGTGTAAGAGGGGAAGCTAAAAGGAATGAGTTGTGCTGCACTCCTGAAGGTGTATGCTGGTGTCCTGAAAATGGTTTATCTCAAATGTTATAAAAACAGATTCTGCAAAAATCACCAAATGTGAGCTTAAAGGGATGGCAAAGCCCAGGAATCAGGAGGATAAGGTGCCTAGGGAACAAGCAAAGAAACAGGTTCATGATAACAACTATTAAGCTTCTTTTTTTTTCCCTAGGTGACAGGGAACAAGCAAAGAAACATGTTCATGATAACTATTAAACTTCTTTTTAAGACGCCCTATTGCACTGCCTGTCTGTGGGACCTGGGCTGAGAAATCAGCTTTAGGACTTTCACACCTTCCTGTAAGAGAGAAGAGTCAGAAATATTGTGTAAACAACTTAATTGAGATAACTAGATGAGATTTCTTCTTTTGGATGAACATTTCTTTTGGAAATCTAGACTGCTGAATCATTATCAAGTGTGAGCTTTACCAGCACAAGTAGACTCAAGAGCAAACAAGCACTGAGAAAGGAAAAAAAAATTAAATAAAAGCAAGTAGATGCATGAGAAGTGTTATAAATGTAAAGAAAATAGTTCACATTAATTAATCATCAAAAGATGTATATCAGATAAATTAATTAATATATGTTGAAAAGCCTGTCCTAATTGTGGGCTCCTCCATCTGGGTTATTGCTGATGTATGTTCTAACAGGTGGTTTTCTATAGGATAAAGAAATCATTCAATCAATCTCAGTTTTACATTTTCAATATTGGGTCTGTTTTTATTGCATGGCGTGTTGCAACAGTGTCATGTCCAGGGGGGGTTCAGCCACTGGTGACCAACATGGGAAATCAACAAGAGGGGTCTCCATTTGGTTTAACTCAGTAATCCACTTACTGGGGAGTCACCAACACAGGAATTAATCCAGCATAATCCCGAGATGGAGAACCCCGAACAGAGGCAGGGTGGTGGGTTTTATGGGGTTGAGCCAGGATGGAGTTTAGGGTCTGGGTCTGATAGGGACACAGCAAGGGAGAAGCCCCAGGGGCACAAACCAATAGGGGTGCAATAGAAGGGGTTAATGCAGCAGAGTACAAAGAATAGCAACACAAGAAGCGTAGAACACCTCAGGCTGGCACCCCACGAGGGATTTGGGGGTGGAACAACTCTTCCCGGGCTTATAGGGCACATATTCCTAGGCAGAGGGGTGTAATCCACTCTTCCAGGGACTTTTAAAGCCACACCTCTCACTTTAACATGACTGTCTAAAATCAAATCCCTGCCTCTTTGGGCAAGGGCACTCCACAGAGAAAATTATGTGGATTCTGTGAGTGTTTAGAGGGAAAGAAAAAGTGGCACCAAGTGTGGTAGTGCAATTCATTCTCATTTCCTAGAGTCCCCAAGTCTAATAAATAATTTTACTAACAGAAAGGGGCAGTGGGAGGGGAAGAAATGGCAGTTTCACAACCTGCTATCAGAAGCTGGTACAACATTCCATGTGTGCCATCCCAGGTTTATCCCAGGTAACAGAAGTACCCAGGGCAGAACTTCGAGGATCATTCCTGCCATGGGCTCTGTGGGAGTTTCCTCCTCCCTGTGAGTGTTGGAAAACTGGACTGAAGCACAGGGTGTCATCAGGTGCTAAATATTATACTGAGTTTTCTGGAGATTGGTGGGGTTTGGTGGGGTTTTTTGAGAAGGACATAAGAATATGCTTAATTCATGTTTCATCCAAGGGGTTTGTGGATTGTAACATCAAAAGTGAAGAGTGATACTATTTTTTCTGTTTAATCAGAGGAGTATTTTAAAGGAAGTTTTCCCTGTCTGAGCCCATCCTGGGAACGGGAGGAACTTGCTGAGGACCTCCCTAAGCAGTCAGGTACCCCCCATCCTGAGGGTTCTGCGGGGCTTCGGGCACTGGGGATGCAGAACCAGAGCAGGAAAGGGGCAATTTTGGGGGGCAAACCCAACCCCGAAGAGCTGGAGCGGGCGGAGGAGGCGGGGGAGCGGCGGCGGGGCGGGTCCCTCCCATAAATGCCGCTGCGGAGCGGGATGCGGGGCTGGAGCTACGGAAGGGAGGAGGGCAGGAGGCAGGATGGCACCGCCGGGGGGTGGCGGGGAGGTGCAGGATGGGGACAGGGATGGGGACAGGGATGGGGACAGGGACAGAGCCCCCACGGCGGGGATGCGGCGCTTCACCTGGGAGGAGATCGGGCAGCGGAACGGGCGGGGGCCGGCGCCGCAGGAGCGCTGGCTGGTGATCCACAGGAAGGTGTACGACATCAGCCACTTCTACTGGAGACACCCGGGAGGGGCCCGGCTCCTCGTCAGCCACGCCGGGCAGGACGCCACGGTGAGCGGAGCGGGGATGCGGGAGCCGAGATGCGCCGGAGGAGGGTACCGGGAAAAGTCGTGCCGAGAGGGCTTGGGAGCGACCTCAGTGGGAACCAGCGTATGGGACAGGGTCGGGGGAGCAAAGTGTGACAGCTCCGTGCCAGCTTCGCCATCCCCATTGTCATGGGAAAGGGCAAATGAGGAGATGCAGCCCACGGCAACGGGATGGGAACTGATGCTCCAGCTAAATAAGAGCAACAGCTGGAACGAGACCAGAGGAGCACATGGAGATGCTCAAGAGGACTGGAGCACCTCTGCTAGCTGGGAGTGTTCAGCCTGGGGAATAGAAAGCTCCAGGAAGAGCTCAGAGCCCCTGCCAGTAGTGAAAGGGCTCCAAGAGGAACACAGAGGGACTTCAGACAAGGTCCCAGAGGGATAGGACAAAAAGCTCTTAGCTTTAAACTAAAGGAGTGTTGATTTAGATTGGATATAAAGAAGAAGGTTTTGAAGATGAGGATGGTGAAACACTGGCACCCAGAGATGCCCCATCCCCAGACACACTCAAGGCCAGGTTGGACAGAGCAACCTGATGTAGGAGATGTTCCTTCTCATTGCAGGGGCGTTGGACTAAAGGAGCTTTAAAAGTCCCCTACAACCCAAACCATTCTGTAATTCTTAAGCCTTCAGGATTCCTCTTATCTCCTGGTCTTGCTTGTGCAGTTGCTGTGAGCTGCAGCAATTTTTTCCATATATAAGGGATATATGAGGCTCATGGATATCAAAATAATTTTCAGTCCATCAAGTTTAAAATTCAAATTGTGTATTAGTTGAACTTTGCATTCTGTAATTTCATCACTCATTTCTCGAGTTACTACTGCTAGATTTCTTTCATTTTAGCATGCTGGAAAACCCCAGACAATGGGTGAACCAGATCTTTTGTTTCTGGGATCTGAGCTGCTGCTTGTAGGTCGGTTCTATGTCCAAATCATTAAGCCCTGCAGGATCTGAGCTGCTTTCACGTCTGTCCATCTTGCATTAGGTCCATTGCTTAATTTTTTGGATGTATATTATGAAAAATTAAGAAATTATCTTAATTGAACTGGAAGATTTTAACCAAAAGCAGAAAGCCATGAAAGGTGGCAGCTCAGGAAAGGATGAGAAGCACAGAAGGCTCTCCATAAGCAAAGGAAAAATGAGTATAATTAATGCCACCATTTTAGAAAGGGTGACACTACACAGAACTGTGGAATCCTTTTGGTACTGCTTTTTGTTGTGTTGTTCTCTCACAAAGGATAAAAAAGCAGGGACACCTTCTGCTAGACCAGGTTGCTTCAATCTGGCCTTGGATACTTCCAGGAATGGAGTCATTCAAAGGGCAAATTTTTAATTATTTATTTTTTAAAATTTTTTAATTTTTTTTTAAATCTGGATTTTTTTTTCCTTTACTCTTGTGCCTTTGCAGGATGCCTTTGTGGCATTCCACGTCAACCAAGCGCTGGTGAGCAAGTACTTGAAGCCACTGCAGATTGGGGAGCTGGCATCAGACCAACCTAGTATCGAGCCCAGTAAAAATGTAAGTCTGTCTTCACAAAACAGATCAAAGGAGACTAAAGGGAAATATTCTGAGATTACACTTTGTTCTTCTCTATCAGTAACTGCTGGAGTAAGGGGATCCAGATTTCTCACATTTTTTGGGCTACTATTTTGAAACAGTGTGTGAATATGAGTCTAAATCCACATTATGTGGTTTAGAATGAGATTCCTGAAGATGATTTTTTCTTATCACAGCAAATCGACTTAAATATCAGAGTTATCACCTTTTCTTTCCCTTGCTTTGACGAAGAGTTAACCAAAAGGAAAAGGAATCGTCCGGAGAATAAATATTCTCCTTCAGCTGTAGGTGCATTTAACCCTCCCCTGTTAATCCTGGGAAGTGAAAACAAATATAAGGAATAATTTCATCCAAAGACCTACCACAAGGTGGCATGGGAAGTTCATGCACACAAAGTACAACTTCCACTGAACACAACATCCAGCTTAGCCCTGTGCTGCTTGTCAAGGATTTGATGGAAGAAGCACCGATGATTTGTTTTAGGGATTAGGATACAGACATTGTCATGTCCTGACTCCTCAACAAAAAGCTGTAGCAGAACAATGACAATGTTTATTAAACCCAGCTCTTGCCCTTTTAGCCAGATCCTTTGTTCTTTCTACCCCCCCACCCCTCCCCCCATTAAAGTGTTTTTTGGGTTATGAGGTTGCAGTGGTGCCCCCCAAAACCAGAGAATTTTAACCCTGGTGCTTCCTCCAGGAAATGCTGGTGAAAGACTTCCGGGAATTGCGTGCTACAGTCAAGAGAATGGGACTCCTGGAGCCAAACCAACTCTTCTTCTTCCTGCTCCTGGCTCACATCCTGATCTTGGATACAGCTGCCTGGCTCATCCTCTTCTACTTCGGGACATCCTTACTGCCCTTCGTTTTCTCCCTGCTGCTGCTGACCATTTCACACGTAAGCAATGAATTCCACGGCGTGGACTGGCATCAACCTACACACACATGTGAGCAGTTTCTTTGCCTTTGCTTCCTCACTCAACACAAGTTCAATTTGCCATAAAAACACAGCCACTATCTGGATACCAAGAAGAAATTCTCCATGTGGGGAGCTCACACTAAACTTAGTTTGGGATTCTTTCAGTAACATATATTCAGCAAGAAGCCTTGAGACTGTCAGGATTCCACAGTCCCTTTCTGCTGGTGACTTGGAAGCAGGGTCTGGGAAATAAATCTTAGTATTTCAAAGCAAAGGATGAGTGTGGGGCTATCTCAATTCCTCTTTTTCTCCCCTCCCAAAGTTTTCTTTCTCCTCTTCCAGGTCCAGGCTTCCTGGTTACAACATGATTTAGGACACCTCTCAGTATTCAGGAAAACCAAGTGGAACCACTTTCTACACAAGTTTGTGATGTGCCATTTGCTTGTGAGTCCCTGGAAAACTTCTGAGGGTTTTTCTTTAAAAAGTGTGCTCTTAAGACTCTGTGGAGCATGTGCAGCACTAGGGGAAGGATGAGGGTCAGGAACTGACGGGATTCTGTTTCTGAAAGTGCTTCTTATGCTTTGTTCTTCCGTTGAACAGGGGGCCTCGGCCAAGTGGTGGACTCTCCTGCACTCCCAGCACCACGCCAAACCCAACTGCTTCCACAAGGACCCTGACATTGATATGCACCCTTTCCTCTTCACTTTGGGGAAGAAATTGTCTGTGGAGGTCAGTGAGTGGTGGGGGAAGTCAAAAAACTAAAGTGTGATGGCAGTGTTTTTAAAGAGATTTATTTCTCCACAGTTCATGCTAAATCACTTAAAAAATGTCTTGAACAGCTGACATGTCAATGTAAAATTAGACATGATGCAAGGGCATAGTATAGAGGGTGGAAAATCCACCAGCACATTAATGGTTGCAGAAACCTAATGACCTAGAACAACAGCTCAGTAATTAATGATCATTAGATAACTCGCAAACATCAATGTAAGGCATGGCTGCAGTCAGTCTGGGATTATTATTTTAATATTAATGTCTGAGGCTCAGTCAGAGGGGTGGCTTTGGTGTGTCCACATCTTTTAGGAGAGTTTGATGTGAAAGGAAACCTGAAAAACCTGGGGCTGTTCCTGGAACTCCAGTTGGGCAGAATTTGTTGGACCATGTGGGATATTCCCAGTTTGTCTTGCTTGGACACTTCAAGAGTGACAGCCTAAGAGTGCTGAACCCCTTCTGCTGTAGATCCCATCAGTTCTTGAGACCACATCACAGAAGCTACAGCAGTGAAATATTTTTCTCCATGCCATCGTGGAACTGCCATTTAAGTTTGGAGAATCAGAGAAGAAATAAGGGGAAAAAAATGAGAGAAAATATGTATTTCTGACCACAAACATAACTTAGCCTTGATATTTCTAATTCTTCACAAAATGAATCATGAAAAAAGGAATGAGGGTTGTGGGAAGTGCGCAAGAGTCCCTCTGGAAAATAAACAGAAAAGAGCAAGTTACTGTGAAAATTGCTTGGTCTCCACTCATTTTTATTTTTTTGCTGTTTTTTTTCCCCCCCACAGCTTGGCATCAAAAAGAAAAAGTACATGCCTTACAACCACCAACACAAATACTTCTTCATCAGTGAGTATCTCAATCCTCCTGCAATTCCCTGAGAGGTATTAAAGGGTCTTGGAGATTCTACTTTTGAACCCAGAGAACTTGAGAAAAACAAAGGTGCCTGAGTCAAAAAACAATAAAAAGACAAAATAACAACAAACAGATTTTTGGAAGAGTTGAAGACTTGGCCCATCTTATCCCAGGTCTCCCACATCCTTCACAGAGGCTCTGGGTTACGCTATCATACCACATCTCTCAGTAGTATCAAAGTCTGTGTGGGCTTGGGTTTTTTGGTTTTGGTTTTTTTTTTTGTTCAGTTTGTTTTGGTTTCTTGGGGTTAAGTGCAAGTGAGATGTCCTTTTGGAGTTCTTCAAATCCCTGATAGAAAAGGGATTTCATATGCATTCCTGTTGTTCCCCTTGCTTTGCACCAATGAATAAAGAGCCAAATAAATTTTGGGTTGTGGAAGCTGCTTGTCAAAATAATAATTGGTGGCTGTTCCTCAGTCAAAAGCCTAAGATAAAATCTGAGGTTTGTAAGAACTCTCAGATTAATGGACAGACCTAGAAATGTTTCAAGGCATTAAACCAATGTCCTAACCTGGAATGTTTTCCAGATTGAGCAGGAATTCAGGATCCTTTCCTCCCAGGCTGATGTCACTCAGTCCATCATGTCACCAGTGATGAATTTTTCTTTCCAGCTCTTCCTCCGCTCCTGTTCCCCACCTACTTCCAATGTCACACATTCTACGTTGCCTACACAAAGAAGTACTGGGCGGTGAGTACTGCTACCTGGGTGACCAAAAGGGGTCAGATGGGGACCTTCAACCTTCCTTCTGAGTATGGAGCCAGCTCCTTGCTGGGTAAGAATGCTCAGATTCCCCTCTTACAGCAAGCTGTGAGAAAGTATCATTAGCTTGTGTTAGATTGCTCTAGATTATTCCATTTGGGAAAAAAAAATAAACTGTCAAAGCTGAAAGTAAATTGTTCTCTTATAGTATGAAGCTTAAAAAAAGAAATAAGCAAATGTAATTATTTATTACATTATTACATTAATCTGCTTTTCTTGTTGTCTTTGGTTTTGGTAGGACCTGGCCTGGATGCTGACTTTCTTTATCAAATTCTTTTACATGTATGGATCTTTATTAGAAACAAAAAGTCTCCTGGCATATTTTTTTATATTCAGGTGATGTCTCTTTAGAAGGTTCTCCAGCCTTTTCTCTTTGTATTCTTTCCATCTGTACCTGCCTTTCTCTATGTTTATATTGCCACATTCTCCTTTACCACCTCATTTTTTGCCTACTTTTTAATTCATAAATTCCTTTGTTCAATTGCCAGTGCAAGTTTTATGATGCCCCATTAGCTGTGACAGCAAAGAGATTTCACTGAGTACTGACCAAATTGAGAAATATTTACCTCATATAACATTCAGTGCTTTGGGTGTTGGGTCTGCTGCTACTTAAAAGAGAACATTTAACCAAAATAGCTTAACCTTGGCTTGCAAACGCCCAGGTATTATCCAGCAGCACTGACTTGAATGGACAGCACACTCCCACTGATTCTAATCAGTTTAGGCCTTGGCTGAATACCAGTCACTGTTATAACAATACACATGAAATAATCATGAGTTTCATAAGGAAATATGAAAATTCCAAGGTTTGTCATTCCTTCCAGGTGCTGGCTTAGCAAGGCTAGTGTTCAGCTATGTCTTTGTGTCTGGCTCTGCTGTTATTTCAGTGGCTCTTTGCTGACCTGCTCACCCAGCACTAAATTTTCTCATCTCATTGCACAGGATGCTGGAGAGCAGCTGGTTTGTCTGGGTCTCACAGATGAACCATATCCCAATGGAAATCGACTACGACAAGAATTTGGACTGGATGTCTACTCAGGTAAAAGATTTTTCCCTTCTTAAGAATTGTGGCCATACATCTACAAACTTTAACCATTAGCAAGTCTCCTGTTGCATTAAGGGTGAAATCTGTTGGTGGCAGGGAAGTGAAGGTTAATAGGCTGATGGATTCAGTCATGGAAAAGGTAAAGGAAGACAGTAATGACACACTCATGGGCAATTCAAAATTAAATCCAGATCGAGGTCTGGTTCCTAAATCATACCCTGACCTTGCTTTCCTCCCCACTCCTCTAGCTCCAGGCAACTTGCAATGTGGAGCAGTCACTGTTCAATGACTGGTTCACGGGGCACCTCAACTTCCAGATTGAACATCAGTGAGTACTTACCCTAAGAGTGAATTTTCTTTCCCCTCCTCTTTTTTTAAAAATCTTTTTCCTTCTCTCTTTTTTTTTTTTCCTTCCTTATTATTTTTTGCTCTGCATTCTATAAATAGCTGTGGGACACCAACGAGTTTGTCTTTAAAACTCCAAACTCTTTAAGAGAATCATGTAATTCAAAACTTTCACTGGAGCCACAGGATGACGAGAGAAAATGGAACAGGGGCAGGATCCATGCAAGGACAGCAATAGAGTGAGTCAATCCCAAGTAGTAGGTTTTAAGGATCAGTAGAAATGTCCTGGTTAAAGCACCTGTTTTTAGTCTGCCATAGGAGTTTAAAGCCACCTCTACTGATTTTTTATGCTGTTACTCTATAGAGTGAGATACGCAAGGATGAAGGATGGGCTCATCTCCACTGTGCTATGGAGATGGCTACTTCTGGAAAAAGGGAGGGAGGGGAAAGTAGTTTCTTCCATAAACATAATTTAATTTGGAGACAAACTGTGGAAAAGAACAGAGGGGAAAGCAGGAAATCCCTACAAGTTCCTTGTGCTAAAAGCACAGCAAGAGGAAAGAAAAGTAGGGAGCATCTTACAGACCCTGCTTATTGTGAGCTGGGTAATTCCTGGGAAGTGCTGATGACTAGGATTTCCTGTGAAGCTTGCCTGCCTCCTGTTTGCAGCCTGTTCCCCTCCATGCCACGGCACAACTACTGGAAGGTGGCCCCTTTGGTGAAGTCCCTGTGTGCCAAGCACGGCATTGAGTACCAGTGCAAGCCTCTGCTCACAGCCTTCGCAGACATCGTGCAGTGAGTGAAAATAAACCCCCCAAAACTGCAGAAGGATGCAGGAGAGACTGGGATTCTAAGAGCAAGAGCTGTCTTGCTCTCCTGTTACCCTCCTGGGCGCATGGTGACTCTTTGGGATGGTGCTGTGCAGGGCGAGTTGGACTTGATCTTTGTGGGTCTCCTAACTCAGCTTATTGAGGGGTTCTGGGAAATGAGCATGGACAAAACCTCATTCCCTTGTTCCAGCAACACTCCCCTGAGCAGCCCTGTGATGCGTCCTCTCTTTTTCTCTCTCCCAGCTCCCTGAAGAGCTCAGGAGAGCTCTGGCACGATGCCTACCTGCACAAATAAAGGACAAGGCTTGGTGCTACCATTCACAGCCTGCCACAACTGCTTTCCCAGCAAGCTGAGGGGCAGGGACCACAAGGGACTCTCTGGCAGAAGAATGTGAGTAAGGGCTGAGGGATAAAATTCCAATAGAGATGAAGCCACCTGAATTTTTCTTCTGGTTTTTCCTGGGGTTATGTTTCAGATATGTTAGGAGTCAGCAGGGCAAGCAGAAGGTGAATTGTTAGAAGAGGGAGGAGCTCTTTGCTGTGTGAGTCTGAGCATTTCTGAGCCTAGGCATGGGCTCAAGTGAGATCATGAACTGGTGGAGCTGCACACACTCAACTTCACAGTAGAGGCCTCTGACCATGTTGTTGGGTTTTTGGGATTTTTTTTTTCCTTGTGTGGAGGGTTTTATGCTTGATACAGCATTTGCTTACTTGAATTTGAAACTGCGAAGGATTTTGGATGAGCGTGGAGTTCCAGCAATGTGCTTAAACCACAATAAATCAAGATAAACTACAGAAACACTTGGACTGTAGCAAGTGCACATGCAGTGAATAAAAACATAAATGTGTTTTCATTACTGTTCTCTAGAGCATCCTCATTGTCACAAGGCCAAGAAACACATGGGTTAAAACTAGCTCAAGGCCTCTGCTCTCTTCAAAATGTATCTGCTTTGGGGGGGTTTTTGTACTTTGAGCTGGGCCGAGACGTGCACACTACATGTACACTCCCCACCTACACAGGACTCAGATTATACTACAGAAAGGTAAACCAAAAGTAAAATAAATCACCTACAGATACTTGATCAAATCTGAAAGTTGTTGTTGCAGCTAAACCAAGATTAGACCAGATTTTGGCTGTGCCAGGTAGAAGGTGAGCTAGTGGAAGAGGCTGGTCCAGGTACTTTGAATCACCCTTGAGAGGAGAAAGTATTTTTCCATTAATTAGTAAGAAAGCCTGTTCTTCATCCCAAGTGAGTACTACAGTGGGTACATACTCACACCCTGAAATAAAAGACTAGCTTTTGGAAAGGAGACTAGGGGAACAACAAAGTTCATTTGAATATTAGCAGTTACCACATTTTTTTTCAATAATTCAAAGTTAATAAATAGAAATCTCAAAAGGTAAAAACATGTAAAAAAGTCTCTGATGATGTAACAAATGGACTTTGTACTACTTGTGCAATGATTGGCTGAATTACTGAAAAACCTTTAACCCTGCACAGTCAGCCAGAACAAGGAAAAGATTTGCTATGAAACCATTTTTCCTGCCTTGGAAAAAGTGCAATTATGTTTAAAGGTTAACAGCACAAAGTACAATGCCTGACCCATGGGAGCAAAGAAGCAATTCCCAAAAACTCTGTGGGAAAATTAAGAAATAAAAAGCAGGAGTCACAACAGTATCACTTACAAACACATTTCCACTACTTTAAAAAGCCTTTTGAAATTACCTTAAGCAGCCTCTGAAAATGATTTATTGGGTAGATGAAAGGCCTGATTTTGAAGATCATAATTTGATTTCTGGACCTTTGACATCACTGGGCTCCTGGTTCAGGACCCCTATGAGTCAAAATGCAATTAAAGAAGAGAGCTGTGAATGTTTCTATTGGTTCTGTACTGACCCAGCAGTGCTCCAGCGAGGACAGGTGTGCAAGAGGATTGAGCAAGACTGAGATGAAGAGCTGTGGATAAATATGGAATAAAGCCTAAGCAATAAATGGATCAATGCCAGAGCAAACTGGAGCAGTTGCCAAGTTTTCCCTGGGTATCTTTGACCAATCTTATCAGTATCACTATCAAATGAAAGGCTGCCTGCACGCCCTCAGGAAAATATTGAATAGCTGGGGTAAGATTTTACAAAGAAGATATCCCTGAGAGGCCCAAAGAAGGAAATATATACAAATTAGTCATAAAACCCAACAGAAAAGCAAAAACAAACAAACAAAAAAAAACACCTGCAAAAAGGTTATGCTACATGGAAACAGAGTGAAAAGAAAATCAGCATCAGCAGTATTTTCCCTAAATGTGAACGATGAAGAAAACAATACAAAATATTAACTGGCTTACTCTAAAATACAGCCTTGATGATTCCTGCAACTCTGAAGGGCAGAATTCCATTATTTTCTTACAGTAGTATCTTGGAATCGGAGGTTCAGGGAAGACAGTTCCTACTTGAAATAATATTGGAAGTTTATATTCAAACTGACATATTTTTCCAATAAAATATCTTAGGGAAAGTACTGAGTAGCTAAAACACCTTGAACTCTACACACACACTATAAGTAAAGCAGGGAAAATGAGATCTCTTCATTCCTGGTTTTCCAGCTTCCCTCCATGAAGTCAAGAGTGTTGTTGAGAACTTGTAGGCAACACAGGAGCTATGATTATGTAGTAATTCTGTATTTTCATTCTGTTTGGGGAGCATTGCAACTGAAACTTAGCCTGGAACCTGCCATCACCCTCCTTCCTCAATAAATCTTACAATAAATGTAAGCACTAAGTCAAAGGATTCCCAAGTGTGGAAAAGAGAATCATACAATAGGAATAATCACAGAGTCAAGGATTTGTTGCACTGGAAAAAAAATAACAAAACCAACCAAACAATAAAAAAAATTACGAAGTTCCCAATCCTGGTCAAAGTTTAAAAATGGGGAACCTGAGAGAAACAAACAAAGAACAAATACTGAAATTAACAGACACAGCAAATCTGTATAAAGGATTTCTGTGGTTCATGCTAGGAAACAGGAAATGAAATTTTCCCTCTGACTCAGTCCATTAGAGATTTACAGTATTTGAACTGCTCTGAGTAGTGGGATGTAAAAATATTTAGTGTTTTTTTTCATTAAAAGGTAAAACTATCAGTTTCACTTCAGTATGTGATATGAGAACAAATTTCAGCCCAGCTCTTGAGGGTATGCAGTTCAAGATTTCCAGCTGCTCTGGGGTTGCAGTTTCACTTTAGGTGGAATTCCAGCATGACAACATCCAAGCTTTCATGAGACAGTTAAATCACACAGGCTCTGCTCTGCAATCCAGGCTGCAAAAGTGCCATCATTAACAGTCAGCTATCAAATACTTCACTTATTATTTTTACACCACTGCCTCATTGTTCAGCCTTCATTTGCTTTCCCAGACTGTGTAACAATGCACCACTTTATAACCTCTGCAAACACAGGGCTGGTTTTGGCAATCTTCTTCATCTTACTGATCCATCCCAGCTGGAATTATCCTGAATGCCACAAACATAGCAAAACTGCCTTACATTCATTTACAATATTCAAAATAGAGCCTCAGTTCTTTTCCCAATTCTGTCCAAAATGGCCTTAAACTGCTGAGGTTTAGTCCTCAATGTCAGAGTTGAGGTTATGCTCAAGTCCTCCTCTGCATGCCATGATCCGTGTCATGGCCACACAACTTTGACTCCAAACATCAGTTCAGACTGACCTCTGCAATATTACCCAGGGGGCAAAGGTCAGGCTTTACCATGCACTGCAAATCTCCATGTTATTTGCTATCAGCAAGAGGTAAGAACACACAAGTCAGTGGATCGATTCACTTCCACAGTGCTGGGCTGGCACCCCACACTGCACAGCAAACTGAATTCAGAGCATAGAGGGAGCCATAGGAGTCCAGGCCAACCCCCTGCAGTGAACAGGGACATCTTCCACCATCCCAGGCTGCTCAGAGCCCTGTCCAACCTGGCCTTGAATAATTCCAGGGATGTGGCACCCACCGCCTCCCTTGGAACCCTGAGCCAGGGCCTCATCATCCTCATAAAACAATTTGTGAGAAAATGGGGACTCACCTGCCTGTGAAAATTCATGGATCAGATCTCCAAACACAGAACAAACAGCCTTTTTCTGCAAGATGAGCAACAGGTATGGAATATTTGGCAAAACAGAGTGATTGGTTTACTGGAAGCTGAAATTATGGATACCCACACACAGCTTAGCAGGCAATTCCCATCAATGAGCTGCACTAAGGAAAGGAAAACAGGGCATTTTCCAACATCTTTAAAGCACTGAAAGTCTGATCAAAACCTATCTCATCACCCTTTTTCTCTCCTCTTAACGTTTAGCAATCCCATGAACTTCCTCATCTCCTGGCACAGCTCACTACAACAAACGTGATTTCTGGAATCTGCTCATGGTTTTTGGATATGCAAGTTCAAATATTTTGTGGAAGGGAAAACAACCTAGGGATGAAATGACCATTAAAAGAAGTGGAACTCCTGGAGAAGCTGTAATTTCCCAAACATTAGTTTCAAATTCATTCCCAAATCCACTGCTAGAGATGTGCATCTAAAATAAAACAGTAATAAGATGTTGAGCAATTCTGCTTTACAGATCACTGAAATCATATTGCAACAACCTGGCAAAGGAATGTTTGATTTTAGTTGAACAGAATACAAAAACAAAACAAAACTGCGGTTGTGTCATGTCAACAGTCTCTATTCTCACGATAAGGAGCTGTAAATGGATTTATTGTCTTATTTATTTGAAGAAATAGCATTACTGTTCTTCCAGTGTTGCCTAATGCTCTCCACAGCTTTTATGTTTTTTGTACAACACTTGTCACAGCCAGTTTAGCATAGAACACAGGTCACTTAAGTTATTTAAACACAACTGTGGGGTTGAAAACTGAGTTTTTATAACAAAGGCAGCTGCAAAAAGTACATCCAACCTACAGCTTCTGCACCATCTCCAGAAAAACAGATGAAGAGCTTTATGAACTTCCTAGATTCACATAAAGTATTTGAAGACGTTTGCACAGAAAATATGTTGCCAAGAGATTTTTTCATTCCATTTATTTCAGAAATGAAAGTAGACAACAATATAAATCACTGAGCAGACACAACCAAAATTAGAAGATCAGGCCTTGTTCACTCTCTTCCAAAACTCATTAGGATTCCCTGTTCCAGCATGTTATATTCCCACCCAATCATGTAATCCCACATGCCTGATCATGTAAAAAGCTAATGGAATCCCAGAATACAGTAGGTTATCAGTTCATATTATTTTACTGCACCTCTGCCCCAGCTAATTTTTCACAAGAGGTTAGTAGATAAATGAATTGCAGAGCAAGTAACATTCTCCAAAATTTAACAGAACAGCATTTAGTATCTACTCTTCTTAACTTGCCACCATTCCTGGGAATTCACACTTAAATCAGGAAGTAATCCTAGTCAAAATACAACTCAAGGCAGACCCAGAAATGCAGTGATTATTGAAAAATCACCTCCAAACTGCTATTATTTAAATTTTTTACAGTTGCCCGAGTTCAGAGCAGTAGCTGGGCTCTGAAATGCCTTGCATTTAGCCTGGATAACTATCCTGTAAGTGAGGTCCCAAATTCTTTCCCACAGTTTAACTAAACTGCAGATGCTGGGTAACATAACTACATTCATACAAACATGCTGCTTTAATTAAAGGATCACCCTGAAAATTAGCCCTGGTTTGATCAAGAAATAGCAACAGCAGATTATTGCAGTAAAATAACAATTTCAGCAATCATGGGGAATAGTTTTGGAAGTTCTTGAGCTTGAATTTCAATATTCATGCATTTGAAGGTTTATTTCTCAAACATTTGGCATGTTAATATTTTCCTATTTAAATTCTTACAGGACGGAAAGAACAATTTACTCTCCTAACCCTGAAAGGGTTGTAAGGTTTAATCAATTTAGTTGAACAGTGCACAGAATACGAAAATATCCTTTGCTACCTCCCTTATGTCAGTTATATCCCAACACGGCATTAGTAAGCAAAGATTATCTTAAAATATATATTGGGAGTAAAATTGAACTATATTTAGATCAAACTTTGTAGTTAGTTTTATCTCTATCATAAGGAATGAGACACCAACATTTTACTCAAACTACTGGATATCATTTTACTTCTGGAAGGCCAAAAATGAAATTCAAGGGATGTGTTTACAAATACAGACAGATAATTATTTTATTAGAATTACTGAACAGCATCAACTTTTTAACAAGTTTCTTCATGAGGGCAATCAGTGTCCTTATAGAAATTCTACTATGTTATTTAGCCAGCTAAGTTGTACAACAAAAAAAATGAAGCAGTATTTTGACTAAATTTCTCTTTGCTCCTAGAAACGAAGACAATTTCTTATTATAAGCTGTTTAGAAATCAGGTAATTTAGGTAAGTTGTTATCAAGCAGTAAAGCACTAGTGTTGAAAGGCACTGGGATTGAAGCTTGTGTTACCTGGTTTCCAGTACAGACAGCCCTTGAGAGCTCAGTAAATCACACCTGTAAAACACTCCTGCGCTTGGGCCCAAGTTTGCTACATTCATTAAACTGTTGGACGGGTTCTTGTGCAGGTGGAAGGACGCAAAATTCAGAGCAGATCTCTGCAGATTTACAGGTTGGATCTTTCCTTGACAGACATACGAGTTGCGGACTGTGTGTATGTTCTAATTACATCCTGAAAGTAAAGCAACAGGAAAAACTCAGAGCGAGTTCCATTTAAAGTAGAGAACTGCAGGAAAACACTGAATCAACTGAGTTGTTGTTCTTTGGAGCAAGCACTGAGCCCAGGAAAGGCTTGTGGCAATGTTTCATTACCATCCCAAAGAGTGGGTAACCAACTTCAACACATTTTATATCATGTACAGTCACCTTCCAGGAACCCTACAAACCCCAGCTGAAACTAAGTCTTTGTACATCAACAGTTAATCAACATTTAATTGTTATTAGAGTGACATTTCCTTATTTTGCAC